CCTCCCAGAGCCGGGGAGAGAACCCAGGCGTCCTGGCTCCCAGCCCCCACTCCCCTCCGCGAGCCGCTCCGTGTGGGAATGCCGGGCCTGGCCGGGTTCATTCTCTGTTCTGTTTTCAGTTACATGATGCATTGGCCCGGAGGGAGGACCCTTCATAGGCATGAGCTGGACGTGTTCCTGGCTCAGGCGGTTTCCTCTCAGCTCTACGAGCCGGATCAGCTGCAGGAGCTGAAGGTAGGGGGCTGCCGCCACGTTCCCCGGGGGGAAAGCAGCCGTGTCCCCCCGCTTCTCCAGCCTGGGGTGCCTCGCGCCCTGCTTCGCTGCTGCCCGGCCCACGCAGCCACCCGCCTCGGCGTCCCTGCCTGCTCTGGCTGGCCACTCACCAGCTACTCCCAGCCCTTGCCCAGGGGTGCGGCTCGTCTTGCCCCGTCTCTCCCGGCTCCCCAATGGAAACCGGCCTGCCCAGACCCCGTTCGCTCCGGCGGAGGTTCCCAAACACGCCAGGGTAGAGAAAACCATCCAAGAAGTTCATTAACCCCAGGCAGAAAGATTTGAAGTGATGACTGGTGGTGAGGCGTGAAAATCGCACTGGGTCCCAAAGAAAATCAAACAAGAGAAGACCCAGACCGGTACCTAATGTAACGAGCCAGGTGAACTTAAAAGCAAAAAGGGTTTTCTCCCTATAAGGACCCACTGGGTCGATCTTTCCACCAGGACCCCGGCCCAGTTCAGTAATGCTTCATTTGTCTTTCAAACGGGGCTGCTGCCGTGAGTAGAGATGAGGGGAGAATACGATTTGGGCTCCTCTGTTTCCATTCGTATTCCCCTCTCCCTCCCTTGAGGATTATCTCCAGCTTGGGTGCAGGAAACCCCAGCCGTGTCGTTGCCAACGTGTAAAGTTCTTGTTTGCACCCTTCTTCCCGCCAAAGAGTGGCCGCTTACCCAGGTGATAGTCTGCTTTATTATGCTGTCACCTGGCCAGGCTGTCAGTGTGTCCCTTGTCTCTGAGGAACTGGTTTGTGCCTGCATGTCACAGCGATGTTATACAGTGGAATCTCATAACTTTCCATACAACGCGATACACACATTTTACTGGGACAATAATGTTCAGCAGATTATGAGTTTTCAGGTGATACCTCACAAGGCACATTTTGTACACAATTTATCCTAGTCTGTAAAAGCAGTGAACGTGGGGTACAGTTGGTGACAGCCAGCACTGGAGCTGTTTGGGAGAAAGGTGAATGGGAGCGGGGTGCAGTGACTAGTATGGGGGGCTAGCAGCCAGGACTCCTGGGTTCTCTCCCCAGCTCTCACTGGAGAATGTGCTGGAGTTATTCCTTTACTAGATTAAAAACTGCCAATCTGCTCTGTTCCCCAGCTGCCCACATCTCAACGCCGGGCGAGCCTCCCCATGCAGTGTTATGTGTGGCTGTTCCCCAGCTACCCTGCCCCAGAGATGGCTGCACTCCTCCCCATGTTAACGTGATGGGAATGGTTCCCTTGCAGATCGAGAAGCTGGATGCCCGGGGCGTACAGCTGGCAGCCCTCTTCATGAGTGGAGTAGATACGGCTCTGTTTGCCAACGATGCCTGCGGGCAGCCGGTGCCCTGGGAACACTGCTGCCCCTGGATCTACTTCGATGGCAAACTCTTCCAGAGCAAGCTCATCAAAGCCACCCGCGACAGGGCCCCCCTCATTGACCTGTGTGACGGGCAGGTATGGGGCAGGATGCCTGGGTTCTCTCCTTGCCTCTGGGATGGGGAGTGGGATCTAGTGGGTTAGAGCAGGGTGGGCTGGGAGCCAGGACTCCTGGGTTCTCTCCCCGGCTCTGGGATGGGGAGTGGGATCTAGTGGGTTAGAGCAGGGGGGGCTGGGAGCCAGGACTCCTGGGTTCTCTCCCTGGCTCTGGGAGGGGAGTGGGATCTAGTGGGTTAGAGCAGGGGGGACTGGGAGCCAGGACGCCTGGGTTCTACCCCTGTCTCTGGGGGGAGAGTGCGGGAGGGGGTTTGAGAGGCTGCTCCTCTTGGTCTGGAAGTACCTGGATGTTCTGACATTGGGGCAGGCTGTGGGGCAGGGGCAGGGATGTGGGGGAGGAGGTCAGCTGGATTCAACTCCCCCCGCCCCCCACTTTCCTTCCCAGATGGAGCAGGCGGCCAAAGTGGAGAGGATGAGACAGAGCATCCTGGAGGGCGTGAACTTCAACCGCCAGGCCCCGCCCCCTCTGCTCCCGCCTCCTCCCTTTGTGCCTGCCATGGCCGCGCCCTTCTATTCGATGCCCCTCTACCCCCGCACCACGGGCTCTGTCCTGCCACCAACTCCTGGGAGGAGCAGAGGGTTCACAGGTGAGAGATCGTTGTGTCCCCTGAGCCGTGTCCCTGCCCTGTCCCGCAGGGCATTGGTGGGAGAAGTGGGATCCCCAGATGGCTGGATTGTATGCCCTCTTGAAGGCAGGGGTAGGGGAGGCCTCTTTTCTCCCCCCTCCAGTTGTAGATATGTGGAGTGTGGGGGGCTGGTGGGGTGCTCCAGAGCAGTGGGGCTGGGGGGCATCATCCTATTGAGATGCATCGGGGCAGATTCCCTCTGTCAGTGCTTTTGGCTCAGGCTCTCTGCAGACTCAGGCAGAGGTCGGTAATGCCTAGGGCAGTTCACACCTTTCCCAGTGACTGGCTCAGAGTCTCTGCAGACTCAGTCAGGAGTCGGTAATGCCTAGGGCAGTTCACACCTCTCCCAGTGACCGGCTCAGGCTCTCTGCAGACTCAGGCAGACCCTGTTTCTGACCCAAAAGATGACGTTCTGCTACTGTCTCATATCTCCTGGGGCCTGTACGTGACCCTAGTGTCACCTGTCACTCATCTCCCCCCCTCTGTCTCCTCTTCCCTAGGTCTCCACCCCATCCCGCCTCAGGGGGGCAAGCTGGAGATCGCCGGCATGGTTGTCGGCCAGTGGGCGGGCAGTAAGCCCTCGCGGGGGCGGGGCTCCTTTGGGATGCAGGTGGTGTCTGTCGGGGGGCCAGGGAAGGGGTAAGTACCGCAGCACTGCTGAGGGGTGGGCTGGAGAGAGGCTTTGTTGGCTGCTGGGGGACCAGCATTCTCCCCTTGGGTCATCTCTGCGCCATGCGAGCCACCTGTGTGTGGCGTTATGTGCAGCTGTTCCCCAGCCGCCCCGCCCCAGAGACAGCTGCATCTCAGCACCCGGCAAGCCATCCCTGTCCTCATGAATTATGCTTATATTATTTGTAATCATTAGAACTATTAATGGCCACTGTTTTTATCCGTTAATGTCACCCTGGTTATTAGGCCCATTACTTACTTACTCTTATTACGGGGGCATCAGTGTAACAACCCTGCTGCTAGCTAATCAGTATTATTTTCCGCCTTGCTCCACCACAGACGCAGTCGAGACGGGTCTGGAAAACTCCCCAAAGGAAACAAGAAACTTAGCAAGCAGGTACGTGTTTCTGCCTTTCCCTCAGCCCCACTGGTCTGGGTGCTCCCGCCAACCCTTCTCCATGCCCCCCACCTCCCTACAGCTGGGTTGCTGTCCCCGTGCAGCGTTATGTGTGGCTGTTCCCCAGCTGCCCCGCCCCAGAGGTGGCTGCATCTCAGCCACGGGCATAGTGGGATGGGATTCCAGCGGGTGTCCGAATATGTTGCACTCTTGTTCTCCGCAGGGCTCGGTGGAGGGAGCAGCCAAAGCAGCAGAGTTGCAGAGCGGGCAGTCCCCGTCGCAGGTGAACGGGGGCGAGGATTCGGGGGGCGGTCCCTGCCCCCCGGCCCCATCACAATGTGCCTTAGCCAGAGACGCTGACCCCTGCGGTGACGAGGGCCAGTACTGCGGGCGGCTGGCCCAGGAGGTGGATCGGAGCCCCGATACCAAGCTGCCCCTCCCGGCTCTGCAGAAGGAAGAGTGACGGGGGGACCTGATTCGGGGGTGGGGCCAGGAGTGTGAAAGCCTCAGGGTACCATGAGGACAGGGGGGTTGGAAAGGCAGCACCCCAGTGCATTGTGGGGGATCATCCCCTAATTAAAGGGATGGTCTCCTACAGCGCCCCAGTGCATGGTGGGGGATCTCCTACGGCGCCCCAGTGCATTGTGGGGGATCGTCCCCTAATTAAAGGGATGGTCTCCTACAGTGCCCTAGTGCATTGTGGGAGGATTTGTACCGGTTTTCCTACCCCCTGTCCCCTCCTGGCACTGACACCCACCCCCGATCATGCTGATTGGCTCCACAACATGGCGTATTTTATTATTTTTTTATTTTAATATTTGTGGGTGGGGAGTTGACGGTTTTTTATGGTTTTTAACATATTATATATACCCCTCTCCCGGCTCTTGTAGCGGGGGGGCGGGAGAAATGCTATTAAGTAAAGGGGGAGCCGTTAAAAGGAAGCCAGCCAGGATGAATAAAAGCGAGTGGGGAGGGGTGATGTCGTGGCGCCCCCTGCCCTGCAACGCTGGGCGCCCTCCACTCCCCGGCACCCACAGCGCCCCTCGCTGCTCTGGGTGGAGCCCCAAAACGTCCCGGGGGTGGGGAGGCGGATTTCCCCAATATTTGGCGGGAGCAGATGCCCCCAGCCCGTGTTCGTTTCGGGCGGCGCGGGGGCAAGTTCGGGGCAGAGGCGCGGATGGCTGAAATCCACCCGTGCTTTGTACAGAGAGAAGAGAGAGATTATATTTACAGAGACAGATTCTATATAGAAACTACGTATCTCGGGGGGAGGAATTCCCGTGTCCCCAGCCGCAGCTCCAGAGCCGTCCGCGTCAGACCCAGGGGGGCAGGGGCAGTCGGGGGGGTCCCTCCGAAACCAGACTTCCGCGGAGTCCCCACTCCTGGCCGCGGTTCCCAGCTGGGCTGGCCAATGGAGGGTGGAGGAGGGGTTCAGGTTGGTGGGCAGGGATTTTGAGGCTGGGGGGCTGTTAGGGTTTCTGTCCCATGGGAGGGGAATGCGGGGACTTGGAGGCTGACTGGTCGGGGATGTATTTGGTGTGGGGAGGACCCCCTTAAAGTCCCATTCAAATCTGGTGGAAAGGTTTTGTATCCTAATCCCGCCCCCCGACTGTAACTTCAGGCCGGGGGGCTGGTGGTGAATTCCCATCCTGGCCCCCCGGACGGCTCCTCTCCTGACCAATCCACGCCCCTGTCGGCACGGGAAGGCTTGAATTCCCCCAGATCCAGGCAGACACATGGGGATTTGGGGAACAGGGAGGGGGCAGGAAACAGCCCAAATCTCGATAAACTTTATATATTATTTTTTCCCCCGCCTCGGGGGTGGGGGGATGGGAGGAAATTTAACGCCCCCTTTTGCGATCGGGGGCACTGAACCCTTTTAACCCTGACTGATCCGCCAGCAAAGACTCCGGAAAACTCTCTCCGGACTCTGATTACTTGAGCTTTCGAACCGAGGCCAATTCCGAATCCAACGCTCGGAAGACGCCCGCCCGCCCGAGGCAGCTCGTCGGCAGGCGTCACCCTGTCGGTTTTTATTACTTTAACCATGTTTCAAAGTCAGGCTTCAGATCAGGCGTCTCTGAGTGTCTGGAGACAATCGGCCGTGTCTGCGAATCGCGAAGGAGTCAATCTGAAGCGTTTGGGGTTGGGAATCTTTAGGGACAGACGCCTGGAATTGCAATCACTTTTCTTGCTGGAATAATCCCCCTTTTCGGGGTGGGGAGGGGAGATATGATTTTAAGGACCCTCAGCATTTTACAGAGCTCATCCCAATTCAGTGCAGCCATTTTTCTCCTCTGAAATCCAGAAAACGAAACCTGAAATCACAGCCTCCCGAACTCCCTCCGCTAAACTCCCAGGGGGAAATTCTGAAACGCATCCACCGGTCGTTGGTGCTTCGGAAGATTGGTAGTTTTTGCCGTTCCCGAGATTTTAAACACGGAGTCGCTCTGGGGCGCGGAGAAGAGCCGTGGATATGATTTGAGAGGCGTACGTAGCCAGCTATGTTCGGAAGGAGATCGAGAGGGGACTGGATTCTGCTGGAGAATCTTGGGCAGTCACGGTACTACAGGGCTCTTCTGTAGTCTGGTGGAGACAGGCTGACTGAAAAGCAAGAGGCAGGAGGCTGAAGCCAGACCAATACAAATTGAAAAGAAGGGACCAATTCTTACCCGTCAGGTGATTAACAGCTGGGACGAACTCCCAATTGAGGTGGCCCGTTCTCCAGCTCTTGGGGTCTTCCCGTCCAGGTGAGATTGTTGACGCCCCTCACCAAGTGACATAAACTACGCTGAAAAGACACCGAGATAAGCATCCTGCCTGGCAGGGGTGTAGCGGTCTTGACTAGATCGGAGGAGAGTCACCTTTTAGATTAACACTGGAAATAAAACTAGCGCAAATCTCAACCTCGGATGGGGGATTTGAACTGATCCGAGTTGGGGCCGCTGGCTCAGTTGGCTTTGAAGAAGCCCCTTTCTCGGCACCATTCGGCGGAATCGCAGATTCCCCGCGCTGGAAATCGCTCGTCCCTTTTGGAAAACCGTGGCCAGTTTCCTTGCCCCTTCCGCATCCGCTTCGGGGGCTCAGTTCCCACCCACGCTGCCTTTCCTGATGTCGTGAGGTGCCCCGCAAACCCGACTGGAGGTAAGAAGATCCCTTTCTTTCACCGTTGGCATTCAAGAAGCCTCGATTGCCCCACCCAGCAAGGGACTTAGCTCCTCGAAGAACCGCTGAGGAGATGATTCGGGAATCCCGTCGTTGGAGGTTTTTAAGGACAGGTCGGACAAACCCCTGTCAGGGACGGTCTAGGTTTATTTGATCCTGCCTTCGTGCCAGGAGCTGGACTGGACGACCTCTCGAGGTGCCTTCCGACCGTGGAGTCGGGCACCTTTGAGGATCCGGGGCCTTGCTCGTGGCCTGGAAGACCCTGTGTTTCCGTGTCCAAGGCCAGAACTCGAGTCTTGCGTAGGGCAGGGCGTTCGGTTTCACTGGGCCCGAGGACGGTGGTTGGACTAAAAGAGACAGAGCAGTTGTGAGGGGCCGCAGGGAATCGATTTAGGGGAGACGTGCCCGGATGATGCCAGCAGGCTCGGGCTGCAGGGGAAGATGAAACTTCCCCATTGCCAATCTGTCGACGCTCAGCAGCTCCAAGCACCTCATCCAGGGTCCCGTCTCCAGCTGGGGCTGGTCCCAGCTGCTTCAGAGAAGGTGGAAAAGCCCCAGAAAAAACCATCAAAGCCCAGAGTCGTGTGTGGGCAATTGCTGTTGGCTGAAGCGTGCGTGTGGCTTGCTGCGGGCGGCGTGTCTGGCAGCCGAGGGCGATGGAAACCAGTGGACAAAGGCAGGAGGAGAGGTATTTCCGCCCAGGTTCAGCCCTGCGAGTGAGCGGTGGAGTCGGGAGGACACACCTCTCTCTCAGCCGTCAGGCTGGCTGCAGGACTGACTGGTGAAAGTCGCTGGCCTCGTGTGCTGGAGCTCGGCTCGGCCAGTCCTTCATATGAACCTGGAAGATATTGGAGGCTTGGGGATTGTGCTGCTAAATTTCTCCATGGGTTTTTTTTCCTTATCTAGGTGAAACACTTTATGACTAGCATGGAGCCCATTTCCCCTGCTGGTGTCAATTGGGGATTCCCACAGCTGGGGGTCTGGCCCCATTGACCCAACGG